TATTTTTTACTTTCTATCTTATTATAATTTTTATTTATTTTATAAATTTATTTTATATTTATATTTTTATATTTATTAATTTATTACTTAAATAAATTAAATATGTCTTTTGATTCAAATAATTTAAACAAAACTCCTGAAGAATGTAGTGATGAAGAAAACTTAGATATACTTTATGATAGTAATTTAGATGATAATGCAGAAATAATGCAAGATAATGATAATATTTTACAGGATATGAGTTTTGAAGAAATAGTTGAAATTAATAAAGAAAATTCTAATGAAATTTTAGATCAAGGTTTAAATTTAGTTCAACCAAAAAAAATTAGTTTTAGAAATAAATCAGACGTTTAGAAATTTGTTGATAAACAAACTTGTAAATATTTTAAATGTTCTAAAATTTTTAAACTAGCTACAGAAGCAAGTTCTATTCATTCTTATTTACAACAACAGCATCAATTAATAAAGGATAAAAAGAAGCAAACAATAATTGATTATTTTGTTAAAAAATATTCAAAAAAAGTTCAAATAGAAAAAACTCAATTAATTATTGAATAGATTATTTTAACTCTTTAGCTATTTAAAGTAGTTGAAGATAAATTTTTTTATATTATAATTCAAAAATTTGATCTACTATATCAAATTCCTGTTCGTAAAACTATTCAAGCTTTAATTATTGATCAATTTACTAAACAAAGAAATTTAGTAAAAAATTATATTACTAAATTTTCAAACAAAATTGCTCTTACTACTGATCTTTAGACATCTTTAAAAATAGAAAGTTTTATTGCTATTACTATTCATTTTATTGATAATAAATAGAAATTACAACATTTTGTTTTGGATATTTTTCAATTTAAAGGATCTTATACTAGACAAAATATTGCTGATAAAATATGTAATTTACTTGAAGAATTTGAAATAAATACAAAGGTTATTGTATTAATGACTTATAATAGTACTAATATAATTTTAGCTTCAAATTATTTACAAGATAAATTAGATGATTTTTGTCATTATAGATGTATAGCTTATATACTGAATTTAGTTGTTTTGGCTGAATTAAAATTTGTTGATACTCTAATTAAAAAGTTATGAAAATTAGTTAAAATTATTTGAAAATCAACTAAATATCTTGAAAATTAGAAAATATTATAATTATAGAAAAACAGTTTTTTTTAGTTCCTGTTTTAAACTTTAAAACTAAATAGAATTCTTCATGCTTAAAAGAGCATGTATACTTCATGAATCAATTGAAATGCTATTAATTAAATATCTAATATTAAAAATTTATATACCAGATAATGAAAATTAGATTATATTTAAAAACTTAGTTCAACTTTTAGAACAATTTAATGAAGCTACTATTGAGCTTTTAGCATATTCATATCCAACAATTGCACATGCACAAATAATTTTATGAGCTCTTTGAAAAGATTTAGAATCTAACAAATATGATAACTTTCAATTGAATAATGCTATTGAAGCTATGATATTTAAATATATTAAATATTTAAATATAATAACTAATTCTATATATATTTTAACTTTTTTAGATCCTTGATATAAAAATTATAGTTTTTCTAATATGACAATTAAAGAAATTTTAATACCAGTTCGAGAAAAAATTCAATAATAATAATTAGAGATAGGTTCAGTTAGCTATAATTGGTCAATAGTTAGTTATTATCAGTTATTAACTTATAATTACTTGATTACAGTTGGTTATATAGTCAAA